AATTAATACATAAAGTCATACCTAAGTAATAAGCACTGAATGTATACTTTAGTATCTGATACCGGTACTTGAATCACTGTTTAGGAAATTACCTGTAACGCAAGCGAAAAAAAAACTTAATGTATGCATATAAATATAAAAAACGGATTTGTTGAACATCTTATTTTATGCTAGAACAAATTCATCAATGGTAGATATCTCAAATCTGACTCACTTCATCTTGAAATACGCATTTATTTTTTTATTATTATTCAAATTAATTGTCGAGTAAATCGCGATACTTTTTCTAGCGACAAGGTCTAGGTCAACTATAGTGAAAGTGATATTTTGCGGTTTTCTGGTGTACGATTTGATTAGGTATGACATCAAACAGATCGATAGATACATTACGTGTCGGCAGTGCTTTAAATTTATTTATTATTCAACCAATATTATTTATCACTGTAACAAATATTATCGGGATATAAATGTTTTGGAAATATCGAAGATGTGTAGAAACGCTATTTGATCGAGATTGAGCGACATATAGTTGAAACAAAAGAGGGTATAATTTTTGCTTAGCTATGTGACAATCGGGGCATGCTGCCTCCTCAAAGCACATCTCGGTTGATCGCCAGCTATTCGCTGGAATGGATCACCGATTTAGGAAAAACCAATTAGGATGTTTGGTGAGGTTTGGCAGTTTTAGGGCCTATAAAGTCCAGTAGGTAGTTAAATCCGTGGAACTTATACAACAATTTGGAGTCGAATCTTGCTAATACTCGAAAATTTGACAAAAAAATGATAGGTAGTTTCACAGAGGTTTGTGCAAACACAAATTTACCATAGAACGCCTTTAAGACGATCATATCAGGACAAACTTCCAAGCCTCTCTAAGCCAGAAACTTCCGTTAGAGTACCCGGAAGAGCATTGAGGAGCACTGGAAAACATTGAAGAACGCAATAATATCTGCCTCGAAAGAAACGGTCGGATTAATACGAAAGATAACAACCAAATTTGTTGCATCGAGGACAGGGCCGGATTAAGGGGGGGCTTTGGGGGCTAAAGCCCCGGGCCCCGAAATGAGGGGGGCCCCAAAACACCACCTCACACGACACGAGGAAGAAATCATGCATATAATTTCACAATTTCGATTTCGCCATCTATTATCTATCAATTATATCAAACACAACACTACCTTATAATATTATTATTGAGTAGCTGGTATAATTATTGATAGATGGCGCACTATCCGCATAAAAGCTACAGTGACTTTATACAAGACAGTGGCGACAATAGGAACCTTGATAGGGCCCATCCGCCGTGTTTTGTCAAAACAAAATTGCATAAAACTCCATAGGATTAAATGATAAAAACAAATTCCTTTTGTCAAAACATGGCGGATGAACTACGTAATTCTGAGAACCAATCAAAAATGAGACAACCCACTGTCGCCACTGTCTTGTATAAAGTCACTGTAATAAATGCACCTGCAAGGTAAAGTTTTGTTTGAGTGACGTTTGAATTTATTTCAGGGACCTAGGGGCCCCTTTTGTGAAAATAGCCCCGGGCCCCAAAATACCTTAATCCGACCCTGATCGAGGAGCACTGGAAATTCAATATTTTCAAGACCGCAATACATGCCTCGGAGGAAACGGTCGGCCACATACAAAAGCGCAATCAAGACTAGTTTGATGAGAACGACACTGAAATTCAAGACCTTATAATAGAAAAAAAAGGAAAGCGCATAATGGATGGAAAAGCGACCACAGCTCGACTGCAAAAAAAAAGGAATGACAAAAAGCAAAAGCAGAAGTTCAACGATGGACACCACCACGTTGTTTAAATTAAATATCAATTTTTAGCAGTACATTTTAATAAACGTGTATGAACACCTTTAGGTGTGTAAAAACCCATAATACACCAAAATTGAACCGTATTTTTTTGTCGTAGAAAAAAATTAAACAAAAAGGAATAAGAGATAAATTTTATTTTTATTATCATTTGCGTTTTAAAATTTCCTGTGTGCAATATGTGTTTGCTTTTCCATAAAGGAGGTGTATTCGGGTATTTTGACTAAAATATGGGTAACTAGCTGACCCGGCGAACTTCGTACCGCCTCTGAATTATTAAATATAATAATAATAATAATAATAAATGCCTTTATTTATTAATTCAATTTAAGTTACAGGTAAGTAAAAAAGCAAATCAATATTGTCGGTGGCTGATGACATGGCGCAGTCTAGCGACACGGCTACTCTACTGAACCATGCACAGCCCATGAAAATATAATTTTAAGTACTAATCAAAAAATAATAATAAACAAAAAAAATACAACTAATGAGAAGCTTACTAGGAGTAATGCACCAAAGATATCTGAAAAAAATATAATATGCTATGTATTACACAGGTATTATTGACGATCGAGCAGGTCCTTCTTGTAGCATACTTTAAATTTTTGAAAATTATACGCAGTAAATTCAGATGGTAAAGAATTGAACAATTTTACAGAATTGTACGTGAAAGATCTTTGAAACAGGGCTGTCCGGTGATGAGGCATTGTAATTCTATTGGAAGACCTAATACTACGAGAATGTACATCGGAACGAAAAATAAATCTATTTCTCAAAGCTAAAGGCAATACAGGGTTATTCAAGATCTTGAAAAAAAAAGTTCCAAAATGTAAATTTCTACGGTTGCTCATTACTAACCAGTTCAAATCCTTAAAAGTGTGAGAGATATGATCAAATTTTCTAAGGCCAAATATGAGACGTGAACATGTATTTTGTACTTTCTGAATTCTATGCCTATCCACGTTGTCTAAACAAGGTCCATAAATAAAGTCACAATAATTAAAACTGGATAAGACTAGAGTTTCACAGAGCAATTTACGTAATGACAAACCAAGGATATGACGATTATTATAGAGCATTTTTAACGAAAGATACGACTTTTGAATAAGTCGTTTAATGTATTCTCTAAACCTAAGCTCCGTATTCAAAATTAGACCCAGATTTTTAGCATTATCAACTACGGACAACTTGATAGAATTAATAGTTATTTTAATGTTATCTTTTTTGGATCTGAAATGTTATCAGGGAGATGAATAGTTTTATCAGAACCTATATTGAAGGACTTCAAGGCGTTCCAAGTTCTTTTATAATTATTCTCAGCACACAAAGTATTTAGATATTGCCTCTTCTCCCTTCTTACCATCGAGACAGTGAAATTTCTCAAACGTTTATAGTTTTCCCAGTGACCATATGACTTCGTTCTTTTGAACTGCTGAAGTGCACCATCTCTTTGTTTCATAAAAATTTTAAGATTCGGTGTAAGCCAAGGTGCTCTTTTTTTAGTAAATTTTGAAGATTTGTATGGAGCATGTTTATCAAAAAGCGATATAAGAAATTTATTAAACAAAATTATTTTATTTCCAATATCTTGTTCATAGTCAATATTATTCCACTGTAGTGCCCGTAAATCATTACGAAATAAGTCAATATTAAAGTTATTAAAGTTTCTGTATCTTATAATTTTAGGTTCAATATGAGTTTTTTCTAATTTTAAACAACAGTATACCAAACAATGATCAGAAATATTCTCAGTGGTGACAGTACCAAAGTCACTTACCAAAGAATCATCTGTAACGAATATAGGATCAAGTAATGTACTGGTTGTCTTGAAAATTCGAGTAGGCTGATTAATAATTTGAACAAAGTTATAATTTTCGAACAGAGAAATAAGGGGGTTACCCAAGTTTAAAAGATTAACGTTAAAGTCACCAACACAAATTATTTCATCCACTGTAGGATATAAAAAAGAAAAAATGTTATCAAAATCCTTAATGTACATATTAAAATTAGTATTTGGAGGACGATAAAAGACACAAAACGCATAACACTTATTCTTTATTTTAATTTTAAAAATTAAAAATTCGAGGGAAGGCGTTACATCAAATTTTAAACTCACCAACTCAGAAGTGAGATTATCTTTAATATATGCCGCCACACCTCCTCCCCTGCCAACTCTATCTTTACGTAAAAACCGATAATTGGGAATTGAAAATGCAAATGTATCATCATCCACGGAAAGCCATGTCTCAGAAAGAAAGACAATATCAAAATCATTATCATTAGTCAAAGTTTTCCCAATAGCAAGCGACAAACAAAAATAAATCTAGGGGTATCTGAAATCAGGCGCAGAAAGCACCACCTAACACTACACAGTTTACCACAAAATACACTCCGTCATCTACCTTAAAAAACATAGATAAATGAGAAAAAAAAAAAAAAAAAACCAATAGCTTACATACCGAAGAAAATGATCAGAGTGATGGTTGTTATATTACATGTTCAATTAAAGTTAAAGTGGTTTATTAATTTTTTTAAATCAAGAAAAAAAAATTAAAAAAACTCTATTTTTCCAATCTTATAATGTAATGCTAAAAAAAAAAAAAATTTATTATACGAAGTTCATACAAAAATCAAAGTAACAAAATATTTTTATTATAACCACATGTAAGCTTTAACTGCAAAAAAAAAAATTCATACATATATCTTGTTGAAAAATAAAAATGAAGATTCGACACACCAACAAAAAAGCAAATAAAAGAAAAAAAAAAACTTTACAGTTCTAATATATGAATGAGTATTTATGTTAATAGTCCTACCACGACAATAGAGTGCAGTAGTAATTTATTTATAAAATACTGGGTTATTGGAATCGACTGCAACTTTTTTACCAGCACCATCATTGAAAAAGATTTTTCCTCCATAGGACCATACCTTCTCCTTTCCGTGAGTTTTCTTGAGAGAAACCATTTTTTTGTACCTCAATGATGTAAGGTCTTCAAATATAGTAAGACCCGAGCCCTTCAACTTATTTTTCGCAGAGAAAATCTCATTTCTTTTCAAATTACTTACAAAGTTAATTAAAATAGCTCGCGGTCGATCTTCAGATTTTTTCCCGACACGAAATAGAAAGTCAATTTCATTATGAGAGCAGGGTATCATAAGCTTACCGGAGAAAAACTTCAGGACGGTTTTCAAATCATCTTCCTGATTTTCTTCAAAACCACACAGTCGGAGAGTGTTCCGCTTAGAACGTTGTTCAACGACATCGACCTTTACTGCAAGCTCATCAATAACTTGAGAATTCTTCGCTAATGACAAATTTACATCTTTTAGACTGTCGCACAAAGAAGTTATTTTCGTCTCAAAAGCTTCAAGCTTGCTATCCAATTTTCGCTCTAACTGAGACACAAAGTTAGAGCACACTCTACTTATTAGATTTTCAATATCTTCTTCCGATTTGGAACTCGAGCGAGTAGGACGAGAATTCATATTTAACGGTTGAGGCGTGCAAATTTATCGATTGGGTAGGACTAAAATTCCGCAAAATGGTTTGAAACCACTAATGATGTTGTAATGCCCAAACTGCCCAGAACAAGCCACTGAAAACTTCACAACAAGATGGCAAACCACAACTATTACTGGTGGCAGCAAAGAAAAACAATTAATTAGCAAAAAAAACCACTTTAACTGACTAAAAAGGACGGAGCACATTCGTTTGTGTCTACTGCGTGATGCACATTTTATACCTATTAAATGTTGTGTTAACGTATCTATTAGCTGAATTAAATTCAGTTTTTTTCGATGGTGAATTTGGCTTTGGTTGAAGAAAATTAATGTTTACTCTCTGGATCAGAAGTCACCTAATTAAAATTTTACATCTTCCTTTTTTAGGCAGCTTGTGGGCATTATTCTTGTAAAGTGTACCACCAAATAAATAAACTCAGGCACAGGAATGTTCAAAGAATGTAAAGAGAACAAAAAAAATCTCTAGCGCAGCCCTGTTTCACTTTATCTGCACTGCATGCACTGCACTACTTCATCTGTTCTACTCTATCTGCACTACTCTATCTGATCTACTCTTTCTGCACCACTTTATCTGATCGGAATAGTGGAATAGTTCTATTCGAAATAGCTCCAGTTCTTGAGCAGCATTGTTCTACTGTATCTGCAATGCCGAGCTTCGTTCCAGGTATCAGAGATGGCGCGGTATACAAAATACAAAATAAACTTGGTATCGGTTATAAGAGATGGCGCCGTATGCGGGCTTAGTAAATTTTTTTCATAAATAAATAAAATAAGTAATGAAATGACCACATTAATGACAACATGCTGGTACTGTCAACGCTGAAAAAAGTTTCAATTTGACAGCAAAATCACCATTAACAAAATGATCCTCCATTTATTGAATAATTCATTTATTACAAAAAATTTGATAAATGAAGAACCGCTCGACCGATTTTGTGCAAACTTCACATAAACCATCTTATAAATAGCCCGAACAAAGCCTAAACATTTGGTTTGGCTAGGTGAGCCCGTTCTTGAGTTATAAAATTACAACGAAAAGTGGCATTAATTTTTATATATAGGTATATAGATTTAACACCAGAACAAGCAGCCCAAATCGTGGCCTTAATTGAAGATGGACGATCGCAGCAATATGTTGCTGAAACTATGGGGATCAACCAATCCAGCGTTTCAAGAATTTTAAGAAGGTTTAGAGAAACTGGACGTTACAATAGAAGGCCAGTTCCAGGACGTCCCAGGTGCACTTACCCTGTAGATGACCGGTATTTACGCCTGCAAACCTTGCGTGCCTGTCATGTTACAGCCAGGCAACTACAAAATGTTCTCTCCAGGGTCCGTAATGTTCGAATATCGGTTAATTCGGTTAGAAACAGATTGAAAGAATTTGGAATTAGAGCTAGAATGCCTATTACTGCTCCATTGTTAACCAGGGCACACCGTGTAACTCGTTAAAGGTTCGCAAGAGAACATGTTAATTGGGATATTAACGACTGGGCTGATGTTCTTTTTAGGGATGATCGAGATATGCACTTTTCGGATCTGATAGACGTATTCCAGTTTATAGACGCGCAGGTGAGCGATTTTCTCAGTGTATCATAAGAGCAGCCAGCAATTTTGGAGGTGGCTCGATTATGATATGGGGAGGCATCTGCTTGGAAGGTCACACAGAGTTAACAGTGTTTCGTAGGGGATCTCTAACAGCTGATCGGTATATACGGGAAGTTCTTCAAGATAATGTAGTGCCGTTTGTTCGAATTATTGGAAACCATTTTGTTCTTATGCAAGACAATGCTCGCCCGCACGTTGCCAGAATCACAATGCAATACCTTGAAGATGTTGGTATTCAAGTTTTAGATTGGCCAGCAGTTAGTCCAGATCTAAAACCAATTGAACATGTTTGGGATTTCCTAGAAAGGAGCATAAGAGCTCGTAATATTGCACCAGACAACCTTGATGAGCTAGAAAATGCTTTGAGAGAAGAATGGGAAAATTTAGATTTGGAGTATGTAAGGGCTCTGATAAGAAGCCTTCCAGGGAGAATGAGAGATGTTATTAGAGCCAGAGGTGGCAATACCAGATACTAAACTGCTGAAATTTTCCTTGGAATTTTTTATTTTGTTAATTTGAATTCTTTAATTTTTCTTGAATACTTGTTATTTTCAAAATTTTTCCCTGTTATTCTTAGATTATTGATTTTAATTAAACAAAACACTGTTAAACATTCTTGAGTTTCATTACCTGCCAATAACAAAAAAAAATTAGGAGATAATAATAAAACTTCTAGTCACAATCTATTTATGCGATACTTTTTGTGACGAGTGTATAATTGCCTTTTATTTTTCATCTTTTCCTTCTCTTTCTCGTAATCTGTTTTTTTTTCTGGCATTAATAAGCTATCTTTAATGGGCAATTTTGATCTCATGCGCCTGTTATTCAAAAGTTGGGGTGGCGACTCATTAGATCCAGAAATTGGGGTGTTTCTATACTCCAATAAAGCAATTTCTAGACTATTACACTTTCGGAGCATATTCTTTGCTATTTGGATTGCCCTTTCTGCAAGCCCATTAGATCTCGGATAGTGAGGACTTGACGTAATGAAATTAAAGTTCCAGTCTTTTGCAAACTCCCTATACCCCTGCCTCCCGCGTACAAAATAGGGTACGATTTCCTAAAGCTCCGTTTCATGATTAACCTATAGTATTTATGACGCTGAGATGCCAGAGGGGCGTCCGCTGGCTAGGTAGCGGTGGAGAGTGTTGCCAGGGGGTTGCAAAGTCGGGAAAAAAACGAAAATCTGGAACGATTTCCTAATGCACGAAACTTTCACGAGTAGAAGGTTATGTTTCACAAAGTACCCTAGATATGGTCCGCTGGGTGGGCGGTGGTGGAATCAGCGTCCGCTGATGGCCCAAAAAGGGACGTAAATCGTAATTATGGAAACTATTTCCTAAAGCTTGAAATTTTGATGAAAGCTACTTTTTTTATTAAGATTTACGAAAATAATCGTCCGCTGCCTATAGGTCGGTGGAAAAGGCGTCCGCTGGTGGGATCAAGCAAAATAAAGGTATCTACTGTTACCTACTCATTAGGAGGCACCAGCGGACGACTTTTCCACCGACATAAAGGCAGCGGACGATTGTTTTTGGTAATTTCCCTATGAATATATGCATCTAGCAAAATTTCAAGTTTTAGGAAATCGTTTTCGACAATCTATTCACAAAAAAAACATACGTGTAAAACTACGAGGTGGAATCATAATTTATAACTCTATTAACATTGCAATAAATTATTGTTTCTACCATGTAAATATTATATTGAGTCACCAGTATTCTATAAATTTACTTAATTCCTGCGATTCATGTGAAATTAAATAAGTATTTATTTATAAAAAAAATATAGAAAAAGTATTGTATACGTATGCCTACTATAGTACTTATGTATAAAATCCACTATAAAATCATGGGCAGCCTAAGAGTAGGTACAGAGCAAGCAGTGTTTAGTGTCGAGTTACCAGCTATGATAAGACTCTCAGCATTGCCAGGTTTTTTTTAGCGAATCTACTAGCTTCTTTGTCTGAATCTACTAAAAATCTACTGAAGCAATTTTGAAAAATACCAAAAATCTACTCTTAATTATATCTCATACAGGGTGTCAATTTGAAAACTTCCCACCCCTATTATCTCGGAGTAGAAAAATTTTAGAAAAAATCCCTGAAACACGTCAACTATAATTTGAGGGGGGATGAGTTTTTATGCAAAATTCACCTCCCCCCTTTCAACCCCCCAGCCCCCAAAACCACCCCATTGAAAATTTTAAATGGGAAGGGGGGTCAAGTGATACATCATTTCACAGGGTTTTTGATTCCATACATTTTGGTACTAAACTTTAGTCCCTAAGTTCGACTGTTTTGGAAATATTGACAGTTGAAAATTGACTTTTTTGCTACTTTGACAGGCTGTAAAACCTAAACGGTTAATTTTAGAGGAAAACCGATCTTACATTCTTATCTTAGATTTTCATAAACTATCATTTGACAACATTTTTGAATTTAACCGGAGATTAAATTTTAAACAGGAATTTTTGATCGTAGATTAAATTCTAAGTTGCTGTCAAATGATAGTTTAGAAAAATCTAAGATAAGAATGTAAGATCGGTTTTCCTCTAAAATTAACCGTTTAGGTTGTACAGCCTGTCAAAGTTGCCTAAAAGTTAATTTTCAACTGTCAATATTTCCAAAACAGTTGAACTTAGGGATTACAATTTTGTATCAAAATGTATGGAATTAAAACCCCTCCAAAATAATGTATCACTTGACCCCTCTTCCCATTTAAAATTTTCTAGGGGCTGACTTTGGGGGTTGGGGGGTTGAAATAGGGAAGATGAATTTTGCATAAAAACTCATCCCCCTTCAAATTATAGTTGACGTGTTTAAGGGATTTTTTCGAAAATTTTTCTGCTCCGAGATAATAGGGGTGGGAAGTTTTCAAATTGACACCCTGTATATCCTGTATACGTATGAAAAATGTACTCTTTGCTTCACGAAGGTTTGTACTTTTGACATCATTTGCCTTCCTTTTTTAACAAATAAAAATTTACTGAAACAAATTAATGATGTCAAAAACCTTCGTCGGTACTTGAAACATGTCATTAAATGAATTTTTAAAAAAAATTGATTGTGTCAAAAGACGCGTAAATAAAAATATATTAATTAAATCTACTACAAACCACTACAAACCTTTTTTTCTAAGTTATGACATCGTCGATGTCAAAGGTACAAACTCCCGTGAAACAAACTTTACGTAATTTCTTTAGGGCCGAATTTATAGTCACTCCTTGAGGTTTTCTCAGACCTTAAGGAAGCCTTGAACCTTTAGAATTGAAATGACTAACTTGTCAAATAGAAGCAAGTGTCCATTCTAAACTCACGACTGCCAAGGAAGAGTCAAGGAACGACTATATAAATT